AAGGATATGTAAAGGATATGTCTGCCTCTTTGTTATCTCTCTTTTTTTTTTCAGAAAGCTGTTGACATGCTGCTGGATAATGAAGATAAGATATCGGTGAGTTCAGTGCAGTGGCCTCAGTCTTTTGATTAAACCCTCCCAAACTCTCTGCACAGATGAACACGTGTGTTTCTCTCCCTCAGATGGACAAAGTGGTGGAGGAATTAAAAGACAGATCTGAGCTGTTACATGTGGTATGTTGAATACGGGCTGTTTAAAGCATGCAGATGTGTCTGAGGGATCCAGCTGTAGTCAACATTGAATGCTTAACTTCTTTTTGCCTGTTTCTCCTCAGTATTTGCATAAGCTGTTTAAGCGGGACCACCATAAGGGACAGAAGTACCATGAGAGGCAGATCAGTTTGTATGCTGAGTTTGACCGGCCCAACTTACTGCCCTTCCTCAGAGAGAGCATGCACTGTCCACTAGAGAAGGTTTGTATCAAATTTGTGTCACATTAACCAGGAAATAATGCATTAATTAGGCAAGTTCTTTACGTTGATTTAATCATACATTACATACAGTTTTCACTGTATTTTGATCAAATAAATACAGCCTACTGAGCATAAGAGACTTGTTGCAAATGCATTTCAATAAAATGAAATGCAATGCATTTAATACATACAATCATTTAATTCAACGATGAAAAAGGTGATGTTAAGGCGATTATAGATTATATATTTTATAATACTGTATAAAAGTTTATCAAAACCAAATGCTCCACAAACAGTTGCTGTGTGTTTTTCAGGCTCTGGAAATCTGTCAGCAGAGGCACTTTGTAGAAGAGACGGTCTTTCTGCTCAGTGAGTTTTGAATCATGAATCTGCGCATTTCTGTCATAGATATTGAACGCACTGTAATTTTTTACGCAGTAATTGATCCAGTGCATCAGAGGAGAGGTCACTGTGTGTAAAATGTTCAGCTGAAGTGCTTCTGATGAATGCTTTTTTTCCTGTCAGGTCGTATGGGAAACTGCAGACGTGCCCTGCAGATGATCATGGAGGAGCTGGCGGATGTGGACAAAGCCATTGAGTTTGCTAAAGAGCAGGATGACAGAGAACTCTGGGAGGATCTCATCTCTTACTCTATAGACAAACCACGTACGAGACCTGACTCTACAGCAAGCTCTTTCTGCTAAAAAACTTATTAACTTACAATATTAATAATATTTCTCGTTTGTTTTCTTCACTCTAGCGTTTATCACAGGCCTCTTGAATAACATCGGAACCCATGTGGACCCCATCCTGCTCATTCACCGCATTAAAGAAGGGATGGAGATTCCTAACCTCAGAGACTCGCTGGTCAAGATCCTACAGGACTACAATCTACAGGTGTGATCACTGCCGGTTAAACCAACATTTCATTCTGGCTAGAGTACTGATATAACTAGATGCTTATCCTGCATTTGCTTGATCATTTTGTGTTCAGAACATCTTGATGTTTGTCCTGTAGATCTTACTGAGAGAGGGCTGTAAGAAGATCCTTGTTGCAGATTCACTGTCTCTTCTACAGAGGATGCACAGGACGCAGAAGAGAGGAGTGCGGGTGGATGGTAAACAAATGTTTTGTCTTCCAGTCATCTTGGACAAAATTACTCAAATATCAGGGCAAAGCAGCAGCTGTTTTGTTCACTAGAAATGCTGCAAAAATTCTCTTGCTTTCATTTCTCATAGAAGAAAACATCTGTGAATCCTGCCACACTCCTATTCTACCATCAGGTACACCTTGGTTACTTTTAATGTGTCAGTTTGTGTACATGAACTCGCACTCACACATAAAATATATGGAGGAATATAAAGAAATAAAATATAGAATACAAATGTATAAAAAAATGGAAAATGTTCAAACTATTTTATTTCTTGAAAATTAATGCAAGTTTTATGTGTGTGTGTGTGTATATATATATATATATATATATATATATATATACAGTTGTTGCTGCTAAGGGTGGCCCAACCAGTTATTAGGTTTAGGGGACAAACACTTTTTCACACAGGGCCATGTAGTTTTGGATTTTGTTTTCCTTAATAAAAACCTTCATTTAAAAACTGCATGTCGTGTTCACTTATGTTATCTTTTACTAATATTTAAATTTGTTTGATGATCTGAAACATTAAAGTGTGACAAACATGCAAAAAAATAAGAAATCAGGAAGGGGGCCAACACTTTTTCACACCACTGTATATACACACTACCGTTCAAAAGTTTGGGATCAGTAAGACTTGTAATGTTTTTTAAAGAAGTCTCGTATCAAGGCTGCATTTATTTGATCAAAAATACAGGAAAAAAAACAGTAATCTTGCAAAATGTTATTACAATATAAAATAATGGTTTCTATTTTAATATCCTTTAAAATATAATTTATTTCTGTGATGCAAAGCTGAATTTACATCAGCCATTACTCCAGTATAAAGTATCACATGATCCTTAAGAAATCATTCTGATATGCTGATTTATTATTAGAATTATCAATGTTGGCATTGTCCTGAAAAAGTTGTGCTGCCAAATATTTGTTTGAAAACTGCGAAAAAAAATTCAGGATTCTTTGATGAATAAAGTTAAAAAGTACAGCATTTATTCAAAATAGAAATCTTTTCTCACAATATAAATATTTGCTATCACTTATCAATTTAACACATCCTTGCTGAATAAAAGTTTTAATTTCTTAAAAAACAAAAAAAGAATAAAAAATATACTGACCATACGGTAGTGTATATTGTTAGAAAAGATTTATATTTTAAATAAATGCTCTTTTTTAACTTTTTATTCATCAAAGAATCCTGAAAAAAGTATCACAGGTTCCAAATAAATATTAAGCAGCACAACAGTTTCAACACTGTTACATTAGAATGATTTCTGAAGGATTATGTAACACTGAAGACTGGAGTAATGATCCCCAAAATTAATTTTATTTTACACTGTATACACATATTTAATTTGCTATCACTTATCAATTTAACACATCCTTGCTGAATAAAAGTTTTAATTTCTTAAAAAACAAAAAAAGAATAAAAAATATACTGACCATACGGTAGTGTATATTGTTAGAAAAGATTTATATTTTAAATAAATGCTCTTTTTTAACTTTTTATTCATCAAAGAATCCTGAAAAAAGTATCACAGGTTCCAAATAAATATTAAGCAGCACAACAGTTTCAACACTGTTACATTAGAATGATTTCTGAAGGATTATGTAACACTGAAGACTGGAGTAATGATGCTGAAAATTCAGCTTTGCATCACAGGAATAAATTAGATTCTAGTGTATACCAACATAGAAAAACGTTTTTTCCTGTATTTTTGATCAAATAAATGCAGCCTTGATGAGCATAAGAAACTCCTTTAAAAAAAAAAAAAAACAGTAAACATTTTCTGATCCCAAATTTTTTAACGGTAGTGTATACATTTTGACAATGTGTACAATATACAAGTAAAAAAAGGGCTGTCACCCAATCGTTATTTTAAATCTTATTTTTCCACCATCAAGACACGGCTCAGGCATTCGGTGTGGTGGTGTTTCACTGCAGACACATGTTCCACAAGGAGTGTCTACCGTCCCCTGGGAACGTAAGTCTTCTGCAATCTTTATATATAAAACTGCTTTTTATGCAGAAACAACTAAGACATTTGTATGACAAGTTGCACAATCCAAACGTGTTGCTAGCATTCTGACCAGTAATAATGACTCAACCAATGGCATTTATTGATGCTAGAGCTGCAGAAATGACACACTTCACATTTGAGCCAGCCTGCTGCATTCAAACTTTGACCCTTTATCTTAAAAAAAGAGAAATGTTTACTTTTTGTACTATGAATGTTTTGCATTTTATGTCCTCTGACAGCTCCCAGGAATCCAGTATTGTAACATCTGCAGTGCAAAGCGGAGAGGACCGGGCAGTGGCATACTGGAGATGAAGAAATAAACATTTCTACAAGTAGAATAACAGTTATACAATTAGAACCGGTTACAAATGAAATAATCTTCCCTTTACTAACAGTATTTATTAATGCAAGCTTGTGATTGCTAGATTTTGTTTCACAAAAGCGCCAATAAAGCACTCCCGTAAATCTGCTGAAGTCTGTTGCCACAATGTTCCAAACTAGCCATGTACAGTAGTGCATCATCACGGTTTTTTTTCCCCTAAAATATTTTTTCATTAAGAAAACTTTGATTACTAATTATATTTATGAAAGGAGCTTGTATGAACAGACACCATCAGGAACATTTTACAGTGTCATACAGATGAATGCAAAATGTCCGTTTTTTTTAAGGCTAAACTTTACTGATATGTCATATATACTGCAATAATGTGGAACAAAATTCAGCGAAATATATACAAAACCACAGTTTTAATACACTACCCTCAACTGCTGGAATAAGCGCAAACAGCCCAGTAGTTTTTGTCCAGTCAAAAGAAAAACATGGTGAGTCGGAGAGGTTTTAACGTACAATCAGAATAGCTGGATTGCTATTTGCCAACTAAATGTGGAAAGTTTAACACTGCAAAATGGCTCCACATCAGCTTTTACCTCGTCTACACAAGCTGGAACTCATTTGACACGGGCAACTATTCATTGCAACGACTGCAGTGCCTTCTACAGGCCACAGCTACAAAAATACACATCAAACCACAAACATGATATGAGATTAGAAAGGTTAAGCTTTAATAATGGTTCGTCAATCATCATGGAATCAAATAAAATGAGGAGAGGAACAGGGATGAAAGGGTTAAAGGGACATTGTTAGAGAAAATCCATTATTCGCAATATGTTGACAAACTAGCGTAGAACTACATTCTCACAGAGGGATACGGAGGTGGTTTTTACTCCTCAGAGTGGCAAGAATCACATCAAGCAGGCTTTATCTGCAAAACGACCAGGAAGTGCCATCCAAAACACTATTTTAACACATTCTCTAAATATCTATATATATATATTTCTCTCTCATATCACTTTTATATCTTTTTTTTCCCCACAGTAAGGCCACTTCAAAAAGTAAATTTGAAGACTTAACACCCGTGTCGACAGATCTTGCAAAATGGCGAGGGGGGGAAAAAAATAGAATTTAAGTTTAAGGTCGAAACACTGAGTCACTCCCTTTTTGGCCGGACTGGTGTTAATTCCTGCAGCCAATCATAGCCCAGGACCTGGTCGACATGGTAACCGCAGATATGTAACTGAGGTAGTCTCCACTCTCTAGTGCCCAAATCCAAAACTCCCAGCTTTCTGTCATCACAATGTAAGAAGAAAAAAAAAATACTATTGGCAGTATAGCTCCCAATGATTTGGGAGCTATACTGATGTAGCGAAGAAAAAAAAAAACCTCAGCAGTTTTTTTTTGTTTGTTTGTTTGTTTAATTCTCACCCAATGTCTTGAACTCCAACCTCAAAGTGGCTTTTCTCATTTTCTCAGGGTTGGCCGATGTCCAGTGGCTCTGCCGGCCAACCAACCCCATGAGGAAATCCACCGTAATAAACATTTGGTGCCTTGTTCGTTTGATGCAGTGTCATTCATCTTGGTGAACTGTGTTGTATAAAGCAGTATTTGTAATTTCAGTCAGTTCCTGTTGCTGCAGCCCGTTTGAATGCAGTTGATAAGGGAGGTGTCCATGTGTGTATGAGAGGATTTTGATGGATAAATGTGTCAAAATATGTCCATTTGTGGGTGTTGTTTGACGGGGGTCTACTGGGATGTTTGTGTATTGTTGAGCGAGTGAGTGTGAGAGAGAGAGAGAGAGAGAGAGAGAGAGAAAGTGTGTGTGTGTGTGTGTGTGTGTGTGTGTGTGTGTGTAAATGGGCACAGACGTCTCCAGCTCAGTCAGGACTGCATCAGACAGCTGCAGGTCATTTTCCCCCTGCAAGTCTTACTTTACCATTGGCGGTAGGCTTGGGGGGGGAGGGGGAGATGGCTTTTATTTGTCCCCCAGGATGGCATACTGATTATCTAACTGTAGTTGCTGCATGGAGCCCGGGCCTTCACCTTCTCTCACCCGGCTCTTATGCTTGACCACCTCGAAAGTATTCTCCATCTCTCTGTCCCTACAACACCAAAACAACCAGTATGCAGGATTGGTTATGTCCAGAATGGAATACTAGCAACTGTACAGTATGTATATATTATGAACCAAAAGGCCCTCCACTGTCCAGCACAATGATCAAAGGGCCCCTTATACAGGATAAAATATTTATTGTAGTTTGTCAGTTGTAATTATAAATAAATGCAAAGCTAAGCAGCTTTAAACTAAATTTAAACATGTTTTATTAACACATAGTAGGTTAATAAAATTCATTAAATTGGACGACCCCAATTAATTTTGTGATTCCGGAAGTTTTAATAACTGTAGTTGCACTTGCAACTTCATTACATTTTAGCATTTATAATTTTTTTATAAATAAAAATAATAAGTCATTCTGTGACCCCATTGGAAGTTTGCTAAGGTTTCAAAGCCCCTTGGTTGAGAACCACTGCTATAAATAGCATCATATTATTGTTATTGTTATTATAATTGCAAGAAAACACAATTATGACAAATAGTATGCAGCAACAAGTGTTTCAAATGGTAGTTTACTACAAGACAACTAAACAAAAACTAAATTTTCAAGACTTAAAATCTAAAAATTGTAATAAACAATAAAATAATAAACTTTTTGAAACATGGCATATTAAAAACTTTTTACTTTTTAAACTCCTGCATACAGGATGACAAAGAAAATTCCAGATCTATCCATTTCCTGCACATTTTGGCAGTTTGGTTATTTTAGTATTATTTTTATACTATTATAGCATTTATTATTATTCTGAATTAACTTTTTAGTAGGGCTGGTAAGCAATTACATTTTTTTTAAATCTAATTAATTACATGACGAGGCAATTAATTAAATCGCAAATTAATCGCACCTCAAATTTGGCTGATAAATTACTCCCAAAAGAAAAATTAAAGTCATTGTTGTGTAAAGCATGAGGGTGAGTAAATGATGACAATTGTCATTTTTGGGTAGGTAAAATATACCTTTAATAATTCATTTTATTATTATTACTATGGAAATATTAAATAATTTTTTTTAATGAAATGATACTCCAAATAATAAACTAAAACTGCCAGTAGGTGGTGGTAAATGTCTTAATGATTAAGTAATCCAGTCATTTATTCATTCATTTGATTCTTTCAAATGGCTGATTCATTCAGGAGTGAAGTAAGGCCCTGTCCCAAATCACACCCTAAACCCTCGCGGTCTTCCTCCGAGTCCGCACTTTCGTGATGTAATGCCGCTTTGACTGTCGGGTAGAAGTCTGCTGCGGAGCTCGCCCCAGTGCGGGCTCAGCAGAAGTGCGGATCGAGGGCGGATAACGGCCGCAAAGCGGGTGCTCACGAGCACCCTTCTGAATGCTAAAATGACAAATGGGACACCCTACGGTCTCGTGGACTTGATGGACATTTTTTCCAGGCGCGTCCGCGCCGCATCAAGATAAAAACATTTCAAGTTTTCAGTTTTCATGTGACAAGAACCAACCAATCAGCTTCATCATTTCCCGTAACAACATTTAAAGCTCAGCCAAGATGAAGGAACAGCTGATCATAGCTGTACAGGGATAGCCATTTTGAAATAAATTTTGTAGCAGAGTTACTGCAAGCAATTTTCAGAGCTGCAAATCCATTTATCCTTTGCTGAAACTTCCGCTTCATGGAGAGCGCAGGTCATGGTTGCTTAGCAACGGCAGACGCCTCCGGAGCGCAAGCACCCGAACGCTTTGGAGAAAAGCAGAAAGCGGCGCGACATGTGAACGGCCCCTAAGTCCGTAAGACCGCAAGTGCACATGAAGTGTTCCATTTGGGACAGGGCCTAAATGGTTCTCTTTATGTATGATCAATTGAATCATTAGGCTTGTTCGACTTGAAGCGGATCATCACCATCAGATCAATTGGTGTGTGACATCAAAGTACCGCAAGAGCTATAGAGAGCAGATGGCTCCTTATGCTTTTGAATCGCTCTCGAGGTACTTTGATGTCATACACCAATCACTCTGTATAGCGCCACTTCAAATCCAATGCGCCTATTGGCCCTATCACACAGGACGCGGCATGCGCTGTGCTAGACGCTGGGTTCAGCACAGCCCTTAAGATACAAAGCGATTTGCGCTACGCTGGCCAGAGCGAAATAGGCAGAGTTTTCAAAACTTTTACCAGGAGTTCTATTTGGATGCCCCGTTTCTATTGGCCGTGTGGGTAATTGTCACAGAGCGCAGCAGCAAAAGTTGAACAATTTTGAACTTTGACCGCGGCGCGCACGCGCAAGCTCACCCATGTGCGCTCTGCTGCGTGTGCGCTTTGGTCGACGCAGCAACAAACCGTCCTTGCGTGGCGCAAGCCATTGAAATTAATGGGTTTCATAGCACAGCGCTGCGCTTTCCGCATCCTGTGTGAAAGCTGCTTATGGCCAATGGTTCAACACGCCAAATGGTTCACCCAATTCGTTCAAAACGTGGATTAAGAAATGAAATGCCGCCGTGTGTTGCCCGGAGACAAACAGTTCTGCTTTGTCTATATTTTCGTTGGCAAAATTGAGCAAAACAGACAACATTGTGTTTAAAATTACACGATATTAACTTCTTACTGAACTGTTGTAGAAGATCAGTATTTGCACTCCTGTGATATTGCACTTATTGCTTGTGTGATATTGCTTAAAGGGGTCCTATTATGCTTTTTCACTTTTTCAACTTTAGTTAGTCTGTAATGTTGCTGTTTGAGCATAAAAAAGATCCGCAAAGTTACAAAGCTCAATGTCCAATTCAAAAGGAGATATTTTATTTAACAGAAATCACTTTTCAAAAACTACACCGAACGACTCGTTTGGACTACAACGCATATTTTCCGGGATTTGTGATATCACAAATACCGCCGAATGGGACGAGACTCCGGAGCGCAAGCACCCGAACGCTTTGGAGAAAAGCAGAAAGCGGCGCGACATGTGAACGGCCCCTAAGTCCGTAAGACCGCAAGTGCACATGAAGTGTTCCATTTGGGACAGGGCCTAAATGGTTCTCTTTATGTATGATCAATTGAATCATTAGGCTTGTTCGACTTGAAGCGGATCATCACCATCAGATCAATTGGTGTGTGACATCAAAGTACCGCAAGAGCTATAGAGAGCAGATGGCTCCTTATGCTTTTGAATCGCTCTCGAGGTACTTTGATGTCATACACCAATCACTCTGTATAGCGCCACTTCAAATCCAATGCGCCTATTGGCCCTATCACACAGGACGCGGCATGCGCTGTGCTAGACGCTGGGTTCAGCACAGCCCTTAAGATACAAAGCGATTTGCGCTACGCTGGCCAGAGCGAAATAGGCAGAGTTTTCAAAACTTTTACCAGGAGTTCTATTTGGATGCCCCGTTTCTATTGGCCGTGTGGGTAATTGTCACAGAGCGCAGCAGCAAAAGTTGAACAATTTTGAACTTTGACCGCGGCGCGCACGCGCAAGCTCACCCATGTGCGCTCTGCTGCGTGTGCGCTTTGGTCGACGCAGCAACAAACCGTCCTTGCGTGGCGCAAGCCATTGAAATTAATGGGTTTCATAGCACAGCGCTGCGCTTTCCGCATCCTGTGTGAAAGCTGCTTATGGCCAATGGTTCAACACGCCAAATGGTTCACCCAATTCGTTCAAAACGTGGATTAAGAAATGAAATGCCGCCGTGTGTTGCCCGGAGACAAACAGTTCTGCTTTGTCTATATTTTCGTTGGCAAAATTGAGCAAAACAGACAACATTGTGTTTAAAATTACACGATATTAACTTCTTACTGAACTGTTGTAGAAGATCAGTATTTGCACTCCTGTGATATTGCACTTATTGCTTGTGTGATATTGCTTAAAGGGGTCCTATTATGCTTTTTCACTTTTTCAACTTTAGTTAGTCTGTAATGTTGCTGTTTGAGCATAAAAAAGATCCGCAAAGTTACAAAGCTCAATGTCCAATTCAAAAGGAGATATTTTATTTAACAGAAATCACTTTTCAAAAACTACACCGAACGACTCGTTTGGACTACAACGCATATTTTCCGGGATTTGTGATATCACAAATACCGCCGAATGGGACGAGACCTGGTTGAGTTGCACTAGAGAAGGCAACGAGTGTTATCACTATGTCGGAGACACGCTAGCTTTCCCAAGACAGACGAACTTAGAGTGGTTACAATCATACCTATTTAAATCGCGCTCAAATTGATTTGATTTCGACGCAATATTTACACTGAAGCTCGCAGGCGGCTATGGTAAGGGGCATGACATTTCCCGACCAGGCGCCGAGTGGTGCCAATCACAACACACACTGGCCCAGCTAACCAATCACAGCACACACTACAGGATAAAATATTTATTGTAGTTTGTCAGTTGTAATTATAAATAAATGCAAAGCTAAGCAGCTTTAAACTAAATTTAAACATGTTTTATTAACACATAGTAGGTTAATAAAATTCATTAAATTGGACGACCCCAATTAATTTTGTGATTCCGGAAGTTTTAATAACTGTAGTTGCACTTGCAACTTCATTACATTTTAGCATTTATAATTTTTTTATAAATAAAAATAATAAGTCATTCTGTGACCCCATTGGAAGTTTGCTAAGGTTTCAAAGCCCCTTGGTTGAGAACCACTGCTATAAATAGCATCATATTATTGTTATTGTTATTATAATTGCAAGAAAACACAATTATGACAAATAGTATGCAGCAACAAGTGTTTCAAATGGTAGTTTACTACAAGACAACTAAACAAAAACTAAATTTTCAAGACTTAAAATCTAAAAATTGTAATAAACAATAAAATAATAAACTTTTTGAAACATGGCATATTAAAAACTTTTTACTTTTTAAACTCCTGCATACAGGATGACAAAGAAAATTCCAGATCTATCCATTTCCTGCACATTTTGGCAGTTTGGTTATTTTAGTATTATTTTTATACTATTATAGCATTTATTATTATTCTGAATTAACTTTTTAGTAGGGCTGGTAAGCAATTACATTTTTTTTAAATCTAATTAATTACATGACGAGGCAATTAATTAAATCGCAAATTAATCGCACCTCAAATTTGGCTGATAAATTACTCCCAAAAGAAAAATTAAAGTCATTGTTGTGTAAAGCATGAGGGTGAGTAAATGATGACAATTGTCATTTTTGGGTAGGTAAAATATACCTTTAATAATTCATTTTATTATTATTACTATGGAAATATTAAATAATTTTTTTTAATGAAATGATACTCCAAATAATAAACTAAAACTGCCAGTAGGTGGTGGTAAATGTCTTAATGATTAAGTAATCCAGTCATTTATTCATTCATTTGATTCTTTCAAATGGCTGATTCATTCAGGAGTGAAGTAAGGCCCTGTCCCAAATCACACCCTAAACCCTCGCGGTCTTCCTCCGAGTCCGCACTTTCGTGATGTAATGCCGCTTTGACTGTCGGGTAGAAGTCTGCTGCGGAGCTCGCCCCAGTGCGGGCTCAGCAGAAGTGCGGATCGAGGGCGGATAACGGCCGCAAAGCGGGTGCTCACGAGCACCCTTCTGAATGCTAAAATGACAAATGGGACACCCTACGGTCTCGTGGACTTGATGGACATTTTTTCCAGGCGCGTCCGCGCCGCATCAAGATAAAAACATTTCAAGTTTTCAGTTTTCATGTGACAAGAACCAACCAATCAGCTTCATCATTTCCCGTAACAACATTTAAAGCTCAGCCAAGATGAAGGAACAGCTGATCATAGCTGTACAGGGATAGCCATTTTGAAATAAATTTTGTAGCAGAGTTACTGCAAGCAATTTTCAGAGCTGCAAATCCATTTATCCTTTGCTGAAACTTCCGCTTCATGGAGAGCGCAGGTCATGGTTGCTTAGCAACGGCAGACGCCTCCGGAGCGCAAGCACCCGAACGCTTTGGAGAAAAGCAGAAAGCGGCGCGACATGTGAACGGCCCCTAAGTCCGTAAGACCGCAAGTGCACATGAAGTGTTCCATTTGGGACAGGGCCTAAATGGTTCTCTTTATGTATGATCAATTGAATCATTAGGCTTGTTCGACTTGAAGCGGATCATCACCATCAGATCAATTGGTGTGTGACATCAAAGTACCGCAAGAGCTATAGAGAGCAGATGGCTCCTTATGCTTTTGAATCGCTCTCGAGGTACTTTGATGTCATACACCAATCACTCTGTATAGCGCCACTTCAAATCCAATGCGCCTATTGGCCCTATCACACAGGACGCGGCATGCGCTGTGCTAGACGCTGGGTTCAGCACAGCCCTTAAGATACAAAGCGATTTGCGCTACGCTGGCCAGAGCGAAATAGGCAGAGTTTTCAAAACTTTTACCAGGAGTTCTATTTGGATGCCCCGTTTCTATTGGCCGTGTGGGTAATTGTCACAGAGCGCAGCAGCAAAAGTTGAACAATTTTGAACTTTGACCGCGGCGCGCACGCGCAAGCTCACCCATGTGCGCTCTGCTGCGTGTGCGCTTTGGTCGACGCAGCAACAAACCGTCCTTGCGTGGCGCAAGCCATTGAAATTAATGGGTTTCATAGCACAGCGCTGCGCTTTCCGCATCCTGTGTGAAAGCTGCTTATGGCCAATGGTTCAACACGCCAAATGGTTCACCCAATTCGTTCAAAACGTGGATTAAGAAATGAAATGCCGCCGTGTGTTGCCCGGAGACAAACAGTTCTGCTTTGTCTATATTTTCGTTGGCAAAATTGAGCAAAACAGACAACATTGTGTTTAAAATTACACGATATTAACTTCTTACTGAACTGTTGTAGAAGATCAGTATTTGCACTCCTGTGATATTGCACTTATTGCTTGTGTGATATTGCTTAAAGGGGTCCTATTATGCTTTTTCACTTTTTCAACTTTAGTTAGTCTGTAATGTTGCTGTTTGAGCATAAAAAAGATCCGCAAAGTTACAAAGCTCAATGTCCAATTCAAAAGGAGATATTTTATTTAACAGAAATCACTTTTCAAAAACTACACCGAACGACTCGTTTGGACTACAACGCATATTTTCCGGGATTTGTGATATCACAAATACCGCCGAATGGGACGAGACCTGGTTGAGTTGCACTAGAGAAGGCAACGAGTGTTATCACTATGTCGGAGACACGCTAGCTTTCCCAAGACAGACGAACTTAGAGTGGTTACAATCATACCTATTTAAATCGCGCTCAAATTGATTTGATTTCGACACAATATTTACACCGAAGCTGGCAGTAGGTGGCTATGGTAAGGGGCGTGACATTTCCTGACCAGGCGCTGAGTGCTGCCAATCACAACACACACTGGCCCAGCTAACCAATCACAGCACACACTGGCCCAGCTAACCAATCACAACACACACTGGCCCAGCTAACCAATCACAGCACATTTCATGATACAGGAACTATTCGAGCCGTTCATGCCAGACTGGGGAGAAAGGTGTTGTAATAATGTAAAATATGTGAAAAATAATGTGTTTTTCGAACAACTTAGTACGAGAGCCTGTTCTAGTACACGCCCAAAACAAAATCAAGACTTTGTAAAAGAGCATAATAGGACCCCTTTAACTATATGATGTAAATATGAGACAAAAACTTAAACGGGCATTTTTGCCCCATATCTTGAATTTTAGGGACATTCTAACTACGCTCTCTAGGCTCCATCACGCAGTGAGTTGTTGCCCTGCCTCATATTCGTCCTCAATCAACTGTATGGAATGTTAGATGACCCACGTAGGTCTGGGGTGGGGCAAGTGCGTTAAATGCGTTAGTAATTTTAACACGTTATTTTTCACCGTAATTAATTAATTTAATTAATGAGTTAAATTACCAGCCCTACTTTTTTAGTCATTTTGTTATGTGCTTTTGTTATTTATATTAGATTTTTTTTTTTAGCTTTATTTTTATTTCAGTTTTAGCTTTAGTGATTCTAGTACTTAGTTCAATTAGTTAATTCAAGTTTTTTTTATTTGAATAGTTTTAGTAAATAAAAGACTATTACTCCATTCACAGAGAAAATCTGCACAGTACAAATACTGCGGAAACAGCAGCACATCAGTATTCCTAACATACTCTGTGTACGAGGAAAAATGAGGAAGGAAGCTAAAGGCACATCTGATTAAGCAATGTGTATAGTATATAATGAACAGTGTATAGACATTTAGAAGAGCTTAGTGTCTTACTTGCGAGTCTCCACGTGTCTGGCGGTGGAGAGGAGAGAGGGGAACTGGGCATCACTGAAGATCTCCGGAGGCCCTTGAGTAGGGCCTCTCTTAGTAGAGGTTAACCGGGCCCCTGGGGGACGATACACGCCAGGTGCTTTGGGCTCAGGAACCTCAACTTCCTCTACTAACAGGAAAAGAGACAGATTAGCGTTAAAGAACTAATCTCAACTAATGTTGACTATTTATACTAACACTGCCGACTCACCCGGAGCAGCTGAAGGGGGGCCGCTTGATTTATTCCAGGGTCCAGATATTTTATCACCAGTGACTAGGATGATCTCACCATCCTCACCCACTTCCTCCTTCTCGTACTCTTCCTCTTCCTTCTCATCACTGTCAGACAGTCAGACCAACATAAAATGGAGTACTTGAATAGAGATGTGCTGTAACATGCATGAATTCAGAGTGCTTTGAGATATTCAAATGATAGCTGAAAAACAAGGTCAAACACGCCTTTTAAAACTACCGGGTGGGGGCACAGAAAGCACCAATGACATCATGAACTGGCAATAACTAGTTTTGTTTACCTGAACTCCAGTAATGAAACTACTGGGAATAATTTAAATCAGAAACTGCCATGTAAACAGAATAATATATGAATAGTAGCATGAAATTCATTAGATGTCAACCTCATCTGCAGGGCCTGGAGTCTGAGCCCAGTGTAGTCCACCTCCTTCTGCTCAAAGTCCTTCCATTCCTCATCCTCCTGGAGTGACAGTTCGAGAAAAAGAGAGGTGACACTTATATAGATTTTAAATGACACATTTTTGAACAGTACAAGAACCATGTCTATGCTACATATTTGCTATATATTTCTGGAACTACAGTGGAGTCAGTCAAAGCATTCGGTTCCTAAGTGTACTGATTATAAAAGTAACTTATAAATGAAGTCATGTAATGTATAAATGAAACCTCCGTAATGAACAGCAGAGAACGTCGAAAGCATTTAATTTTCTGGACTTAATCGTAACTGTAAATCAAATGCATAGTTCTCGTTGCCAATGCAACTTCTAAACAGATCTTAGTAAGCGTAAAAAATAATAATAGTAAAAGATATTTAGGTTTCAAACTCGATTTCTATTAGAGTTTTTTTTTTTAAACAATCACTAGGATGCATTTCCTAAAACTTAAGTCGCTTTTTCAAAACTCTTCACACAGTTCTCCTAACCAACTTTCAGACAAAGCACAGCGGTTAGTTTCATACCCAAAATGTAATAAAACTACCAAAACACTTCATACATCAAGTCATTCTTCCATAAAACTGGCAACGGTTGTTACCCAAAAACAATTTGTCGCTCATAAAGCATTGACCTAAAAAATATTAACAGGAAGCAAAGTTTTCTTTTATAAAAACTAGCAAAACAAGCAAAAAAATAACAATCAATATCTAACCTGATGAAAAATGTTTATACAGTATCTCACAGAAGTGAGTACACCCCTCACATTTTTGTAAATATTTTATTATATCTTTTCATGTGACAACACTGAAGAAATGACACTTTGCTACAATGTAAAGTAGTGAGTGTACAGCTTGTATAACAGTGTAAATTTGCTGTCCCCTCAAAATAACTCAACACACAGCCATTAATGTCTAAACTGCTGGCCACAAAAGTGAGTACACCCCTAAGTGAAAATGTCCAAATTGGGCCCAAAGTGTCAATATTTTGTGTGGCCACCATTATTTTCCAGCACTGCCTTAACCCTCTTGGGCATGGAGTTCACCAGAGCTTCACAGGTTGCCACTGGAGTCCTCTTCCACTCCTCCATGATATCCTCAAATGGAAGATGGAGGAGCGCAAGGTCTCTAACATCCACCAGCTCCGTGATGTCGTCATGTGTGAAGCTCTGGTGAACTCCATGCCCAAGAGGGTTAAGGCAGTGCTGGAAAATAATGGTGGCCACACAAAATATTGACACTTTAAGCTAGGGCTGCACGATAAATCGCATGCGATATTTAACGAGCATCTTGTCAGAAAGCCGGTTCTGTAATCAGCGGTAAATTTCCATCACCTGCGGGCTTTCACATTGAGCAGCATTAACTACACAGAGCCGTTGTTCACTGACGAGCAGCGCAAAAAAAATCGCACGAATATGAACGTGGGTTTGCGCAACTCGTCAGAGAACAACGGCTTTACCGCTGATTTATCGTGCAGCCCTACTTTGAGCCCAATTTGGACATTTTCACTTAGGGGTGTACTCACTTTTGTTGCCAGCGGTTCAGATATTAATGGCTGTGTGTTGCGTTATTTTGAGGGGACAGCAAATTTACACTGTTATACAAGCTGTACACTTACTAATTTACATTGTAGCAAAGTGTAATTTCTTCAGTGTTGTCACATGAAAAGATACAATTAAATATTTACAAAAATGTGAGGGGTGTACTCACTTCTGTGAGATACTGTATATCATGTGCAACAACATTGGGAATTTCAATAAAGGCACATTTGGCCATTTTTTTTTAAATGCATCATTATGCAAAAACATGAGCTGAGTTCTCCACATGAAAGACCCACAACTGATAGTACAACAAGCTACGTCTATTCTCTCCAATATGGTACAAAGAATTGAGTACCATAAAGTAAATAAACTGAGATGTGAAGAGTGTGTATATAAAATATGTTAACTGTGACAAATGGAGATGAAACTGAAGTAGTGACATCTTTTTTTCTGTAATGTATTGGTTCTGTCTATCAGTTGCAGATTCAATTTTGAGATGTGGGTGTTGCACTCAAAAGTGGAGGCAGATGAACTTGCAGGGACAGAGTTTAAAGGGGTCATATGATGTGATTTCAATTATTCCTTTCTCTTTGGAGTGTTACAAGCTTTTGGTGCATAAAGAAGATCTGTAAAGTTAAAGTCTCAAATCCAAAGAGAAATTCTTTATAAAAGTTAAGAGTCAACCACGCCTACCTAAAACAGCTCGTTCTAACACACCCCCACATGTCTATGTCACGATGTGGGAAGATTTGCATAACGCCGCTCAAATGTTCACGCAAAGAAAGGCGGCGTAACTTTTATTCTTGCTGTAGTATTGTTGTCGCTATGTCGTGAAGGCGCTGCGTGTTTCGTTGTGAAAGCGAAACTACTTTGTTTGGCCTTCCAAAAGAGGACGATATCCGCTTCGTCATGCCTAGAGCTAGCTGATCCGTGCTGGTCGCTGAGGAAATACATCAACTTCTCGCTGTGGATCGCCAGATCGGCTTTCACCGTGAACGAAGCAGAGTCCAGCCCAGGGTCGTCACATGGGTTTGCCGCAAGCCCGCCCGCCGCGGCGTTCACTCAAGCCAGCCTCCGCTCACTCTAGCCCACCGTGTGTGACGCTGTTTCGTTGTGAAAGCGAAACTACTTTGATTTGGTCTTCCAAAAGAGGACACGACTAGAAATCAGTGGTTAAGTTGTATTTACAACACTGTTCCAGAACAGTTCAACCCTAATATTCAGATGTGTGCAGTGCATTTTATGGAGGACTGTTTCCTGATCCTGGTAGAGTAGACTACAATGCCGGCTGTTCTGACTCACAGACTGTACGTTTTTTATATATAAAGAATTTGCCACTGACGATTCAAACGCGAGTTTTGAGCTGTGTAGAGTAGCACTTGTTGTTTGTCATTTCTCCGATCACAAATGCAGACATGGTTTTATGTTTACGCGGCGCGATGCAATGCAACGCGTAAAAAGACAGTATAAGTCATTATAATCTGTAATTATGTCCCCACTGGATGCAACAAATGCCTCGTTTACAATGGGTTTTAATGTTTTTGTCTCGTCGCTCCAGCCGGGACAAGGCATTAGAGGTCTGCATTTTCACGGCTCAGGACCCGACCGGATTTTTTGCGCCGCGGTATTAAATTCCCGAATAAAATGCGGTAGCGTCGGTAACTCGTGTAATTTGAACGGGAGCGACGTCCATTTAGAACAGCATATCTGCGTACATATGCACTGCACGCATGCTTTAGCGTCGCACGTTTTATTTGCGGGGTCTGTACGCAGCATGTGCATAACGATGCTCAGAGCAGGCTGTACCTGTGGTAAATATACGGCCCTCAGACAGAACAGGCAGGTTGTCGATGAGTACCGGAGCAGAATAAGGATGGAGCAAAGTGTGGATGTGCTGTCCTTGAAGGACGTTCAACTCGGTTTTGTTTATATTTTGCTTAGCCTATAATTTTAAATGAAAGATGTCGTATTTATTTTTCTCTGCGACACTTTTCCTACCGTGTTAACAGAAAAATGTCAAACAAATTTAGTATTTTGACAAGACGAATAAAAATAGCTAATATTTTTGTACAACCTACATTTTTTTTCTCTCTGGGACACTTTTTTCCTATTGTGTTGTCAATGTTAAACGAATTGTATCCTGACCAGACGAATAAAAATAAGAAACACAATTTTTGTACATTTTTTTCCTACTGTGTTGCATAAAACATTAAACTAATTTTGTCTTAAGATAATTCATATAAATTCAAGTCAAAGTCAATCAATTCAAGACTCTTGACAAGACGAATAAAATAACAAAATTTTGTGCAGAATGCACTTTTATTTGTCAGCCTCTCTCTCTTTATTTCAGTAGCGGAAATTTAAATGTGAGATTTTGGAAATGAGATCTAAATTTAGCGGGAACGGTCGGGAAGAAAATTATTTAAAGCGGACAGCAGGTGAACAAAGAGTGAATATATAGAGGGAGCGGGTGGGTGTGGAATAGAACCTTGCGAGAGAGGGACTAAAAAAACAGTCCCAGACCTCTACAAGGCCTCACAATATGGCAAGGGGCGTAACATTTCCGTCACATGCTTGAGGTATTCGGCCAATCACAACGCACTGGATAGCTGCCCAATCAGAGCACACCTCACTTTTCAGACCAATGAGCTTTGTAAAAATCTACGCCTTTCAGAAAGGCGGGGCATAGAGAAACAATAATGTACAGTATGTGGGAAATAATGTGTTTTTTTAACCTTAAACCGCATAAACATTTCATTACACCAAATAATGTTCTTTTTAGCAACATCATATGACCCCTTTAAACAGACTAAACGATTGGGGAAGTCCTGCATGTGTCACCAGAGAGAAATCTGGGGTGTTCACTGGAAGGCCCAGTTTTTATTATGCATTACAAGGTTCATAAAAAATAATAATAATACATTTTTAAAAAACATATGCAATTATGATCCAAAACATGTCAACTCTTCTGCTACACACTCAAAAGTATGCACACTTTCTTTACAAAACGAATATACACTTTTAGGGAACGGCATAAGTAGGCAAATTGGGACGCATCACAACAGATTTACTTAATTTCTCAATTTGCATCACAACATACAAAGTGCAGAATTTAATTAAAGCGACCTGATGTCAATGTAAAAATGCAATCATCATACAACAGCAGCGTTCATTAGCATGAAGCTATTCTGTACTGTCTGCCAAGAGAAACAAGCATGTGTTTTTCTTCAACAGAAACAAGCATATGGTGGCGCTGAAGGACACAGTTACTGCAGCAGTTCTAAAAGCCCTGCTGGAAGATTGATTGCCCATGCAATGAATGTCAGTTTGATGCCACTTTAGACACGACCAAAAGCTACTTCTATTTAAGGGTAACGTTAAAAGCACAGTTCAGACAACAACAACAAAATGTCATCGTTTACACAACCTTATGTTGCTCCATTCTCATATGAAATGTTAGGCAGAAAAGATGCAATGAAAGTAAATAATGACATAGGCTGTCAATATCTAAATGTTCTGCCAAAAATCTGATTGTTTTAAATCTGAGGCTGTGTAAATGATGACACTTTGATTTTAAAACTAACTGTCAATTTAAGCAACGTAGCCGCTGTCAGAAATATAAACAGATGATAACTACAGCACATCAGCACATTAACTTTCTCTTTATATCGACAAAAGAAACATTTAACCTCTTATTAGAGTTGTTATTCGCTCGTCACAAAACCGAGTGCCTGCTTAGACGACACTACGCATTTAGAGCGTCCACGCGCCCTTTGTGTCTACCAACGCTGTCTAGGTAGGCAGCCAACTAGGTTTTGTGACACAGCCCGTGTGTGCTATTTGACTGAGCAATACCTTTTCCATCTGCGCGTCCTGGTTCTCACTCTTCGTCGACTTCTCCTTCTCCTTTTTCGTCTTTTTCAGCACCATTGCGGTTCCTCCGGTTGCCTGCTCCTTTCCCTTAACGTTACCCTTCTCTTTCTTTTTCTTCTTGTCGCGTTTAGCGAAGAAGTCATCCAGACTCTTCTCCACGCCGGCCGGAGCCACATCCGCCATCTTATCCCCAAATTTCTCTCACTAAACACTAAAAAAAGCTTAGAAATGATCAGATCAGTGTCTGAAACGACAGCAACCGAGCCCTTGCGTGCGTGTCTGCCCGGTAATCCGTATGTTTCATGTATCCGTAGGTTAAAGGTGTGCTGAGAGCAGCATGACAAACTCGCCAGCTGAAAGTGTGACACAGTCGCCCAATGCACCGGATAGTGTTGCTTCCTATCTGACCCGGATGGGAAAGCGCCTTTGTGATTGACAGTTCTGCTTTCCAATCGCTGAGCGACAATGTTAGTTTTCGACCAATCCCATCGCAGGGTGAGGATTCTGCGTAGTGCCAGATTGTGCAACTTTTGTTTTTCAATTCGGTCTTTAGTAGTTATACAACACTTGTGGAGTAATTTAGTTAACAAATGAAAGAAAACGTATTTCTACTGATAAATTTAGGTATGTGGTGCCATTTTAAATTGCAAAAAAATGCACAGAAGAGGCAGAATTGCAGAAATAATGTTAATAAATTATTGTTTTAAACATGACATGAGTATAGAAACGTGAAATAGCTAATTAAAATATAGAATTAAAAAATAAAAATATGATATCAAGAAATTGTTTATATTAACACAAAATAAACATTTTATATCATTTTTGAGAATCTGGCATCTGAATATTAAGGGTGGTAGGCTCCTCAGTGCCTTTAAGAGTTATTGGCTTGCTTAGGGCCATTTATAAGAAGAAGTGATTGAAAAAGGGTGTTGTTAAGGTACTATGAATAGTCTTTCCTGTTGCGTTGACACGCTAATGTGGAAACTCCTGTTTACTCTGGTACTGAAACCTGATTTGTTCACGTTCGTGTACCTGCACAAACCAATGGCGCTTCAACCCACCAAAAGGGGAGGAGCGACCTCTATATAAGTCATCTCTGAGTGCCATTTAGTCAGAATTTTTATCCTTCAGTGACAAAGATCATCTCCTCGCTGACTCTGCAAGCAAGAAGCCTAAGAAGGAAAAAGCTCAGTTTAGCCTGTTGCTCGTCACCGTAGAATAAGCCCCCAGCAGTGGGAGAAGCCAGAAGCCTTCCCCTGTGGCCAACCGGCACTATAAGAGCAAATTTCCTGTGATGTTGATGCAAATGTCGCGCCGCAAGTGTGGCTCGTACAGGGAACCCCTGCACGATGCAGACGGGCACAGTGAGTGCATCGCCTGTCTGGGCAGATCCCACGCAGAGGCTCCGTTCACTGAAACGAAATGCTCTCACTGCGAGAGCATGAGTCTCGCCCTTCTCCGCTCTCGGATCGCCTTCTTTAATGAAGGCAGTCCTCCCCGCTCTGCTCTCCCGTTTCCTCTCTACCCTAGGAGAAAGAAACAGAGGGGCAGCGGGGTTTTAACACTGGGCTCAAGTGAACTCATGCCAGCGCGATTCCCACATGCTTCACTCTCCCCCCAACGCCTCGATTCACTGGTGCGCTTCAGACGTGAGGATCATGAGGAACGGCTTCCGATGCTGAAGAGTGGGCGTGTTCCAGCAAAGAGCCCGAAACCCTACCTCTGGCACAGACAACATGGCCCAGTGTGTTTGCATTTAACACAGAGTGATGGAAGCCCCATTCAAGCTGGGCCCGTCCTTCTTACTCAGTGCACGCCCAAGCAAACTACTGCTGTGATAGTGGACCCACATACTCAAAAGAGCATTTCTCCTCTCCTCATTACCACAAATGTCAGTTCCCTGCCCCCGTGCAGCGAACTTCCATTCGAAAAAACTAATCACTTGCTTCAGAATGAAATGGCTTCATTCTTGGAAAGTCATCCTGAATGTGTCAAGTTGGGTTCTAAAAACCATAGAAAGAGGTTTCTCACTTCAGTCCGGCCCGAAGTACAAACACTGCTTGCAAAAGGAGCCGCATACTCGTTCCCAAGAAATATGGTGGACTCAGACCCATTCTCGATCTCAGACATCTGAACCGCTTGCTTATGAGACGACTGTTCAAGATGTTAACTTTGAAACCAATCCTGGCACATGTATGTCCCGAGGACTGGTTTCTGTCAGTGGATCTGAAAGACACTTACTTTCACATCCAGATAGCCCCCCATCACAGACCGTTCTTTAGATTTGCATTCGAGAGAGTGGCTAATCAGTACACAGTCCTGCCATTCGGACTGTCCCTGGCCCTGCGCACTTTTACGAAGTGCATAGATGCGGCTCTTTCCCCTCTGAGACAGATGGGAATCTGCATTTTGAACTACCTCAACGATTGGCTGGTTTTAGCCAGGTCAGAATGGGAACTCCCTCATGTCAGCCGCTTCTTCTGTGATTCCTCTGGGCCTGCTCAACATGAGGCCCCTACAGTACTGGCTCAGAGCCCATGTTCTGTCCCACGCTTGGCGCCTGGGACGTTTTCATATCAGGGTAACCCACTGCTGCATCAGAGCCGTGGCCCCTTGGAAAACCTCTCGTCTGTTTCAATCAGGCGTCCCATTGGGACTGATCTCCAGAAGGAAGGTGGTCACAACAGATGCCTCCAACTCGGGTAGGGGAGCATTGTATGAGGGCAGACCGGAGTCTGGTCAAACCTGGAGCAATGAATACACATCAACTGCCTCGATATGATGACGGTTTTTCTGGCCCTAAAAACCTTCCTGTCACCTTAAAAGGCCCCAACGTCCTAGTCCATTTGGACAACATGACGGTGGTAGCCTTAATCAATCACCAAGGCGGTCTCAGGTCATGCTCCCTTCACAGGTATGGGCACAAGGCAAACTCCTCTTACTGAGAGCAGCTCATGTGCCGGGCAGACTGAACCAGGGGGCAGACATGTTGTCCAGGGACAAGGTAGCTCCAGGAGAATGGAGACTACATCCCCAAACAGTTCAAATTATTTGGTCTGTCTTCGGGAGAGCAGAGGTGGACCTCTTCACCTCAGAAGACAACTTTCACTGCCCAATCTACTTTTTGAGACAGCAAGTTGCCCTGGCCCACAATTGGCCCAGCACTCACCTGTACGCCTTCCCCTCATTTGCCCTGCTTCCTCAGGTTATCAGACGGGTCAGGGAAATCAGATGCTCAGTCATCCTGGTGGCCCCGCTCTGGAGGAATCAGATGAGGTTCATCGAGCTGATTCAGATGCTATCGGCATCCCCTTGGGAGGACCTTCTCTCACAAGCGAAGGGCATCATTTGGCATCCCCAGCCAGAGCTGTGGAACCATCATGTTTGCAACCCCCCCCCCCCCCCCCCCCCCCCCCCCGCCCCCCCGCCGCCGGCGCCCGCCGGACCCT